TTTGTTGTTGAATTTGTGGAAGATGACACGGCTTTGGTTGTACTTATTGTTGATCGCTGTTAAATTTTAATGAAGAATGGCACGATTTGATATGCTTGTTGCTCTTTGCTTTCAGGTTTGAGTGTTGGGGATGAGTGTTGGCAGAGCTTCTGTATTTCTCTCTGGAATTCTGTCCGGTCCTTTGAATTTCCGAGTCTCTCAATTTCTGGACCCCTTCTTCCTTCCTCCATGCCTCTATTTATAGGCTTCTTGGATTAATAGAATGATGACATGTGTCCTCTCCTGATAAGGATAAAATCATAACTGGGCTGGGCCGATTATATTATAATAATTATCCTTAAAAATAATTATTCCAGGTATATTTTGTTAGGAATAATTATCTTTTCATTTAATCATCTGGGCTGAGCTAATTAAATAATTTAAATGGACCAAGTTTGAACTAATTAAATAACTTAATTAAACATTAAACCCATATTTGATAGGTTAATTCGTCAAAACAAAAGTCCACTAAAATTTTAGTGTCTACACATCCCGAGGTAATATGCGCTCCCTAGCCACTGATCCTGAGAACTCAAGCTCACGTCGTGACATATATATATATTCATATCCTATCAAAAACATAAAATAAAGTACTATCCACTATAACATTTCAATGACATATCATCCACATGGTTCTGTGACCTCACACGAATAGATGAGACTTAACTTATTAGCCAGTTCATCCATAATATGCCCCTATATCCTGACAATAGTGCATTAATCCATAATCATAACCAAACAATGATGCAAGCATATATATCCATCAAATAATCCAGAAATAAAATATGATATTAATCATATACATATCCATTTCATTTATTTAAGCAATTTAAATAGCATACAGTTAACTTATATCACAAGTAATTAACATACATCTCAATTAAATTATATAAATCTCCACAAACATGATTATAATCAATTAATTATCCTTTTACAATTGTTACAACAATTAACACATTAAATCCATCCATTAAACAACTTATAATTCATTTAATAATACATACTGTTCAAATCCTTAGCATAATAATGTATCTTATGCATTCTTGAAACTTCCCAAGTCCATTTAATCCATGCTAATTAATTAAATTTGATTAAAACAATTTCTGGGCATTAAAACGTCAAAATCCAACTTCCAGAATAACTAAGTAGGCTTATTCTTAGAAGAAATCGACTTAGTTCCTAACTGAGTCGGTTCGTTCTTAAACGAGTCAGCTCGTTCATTAATCAAATGGACCTAGTTCCAAACGAGTCGGCTCGTTTAGAAACTGAGCCGCCTTAGTTGGAACAAAGTCGACTCGTTCCTGCTGCAAGTCTTCTTCTCCGTTTTCCAACCTCTGCAACTACTCCAAAATCCATTGTTATGGGTCCTAAGCTTCAGTCTAAGACTCATACGTCCTTAATAATTTATTTTAAATCCTCTAAACATAATTACATCAATTTAAAATACAATTCATGCATCAAATCATGCAAGTTATATTAAAATAAAAAAAAAACCATATACATATAATCATACACTGTTTTAATCTGATTTTTACATGTAAAGAGGTTTATTAATTCCAATTAATCATCCTGGAGTTGGCCTAAGCATGTATTGAAGACAAAGCCAAAGGAGAAGAGTTAGAAGAAGAACTTGTCTCAAAGTTTCGGATTGAAAACCTTATCTTCTTTTTCCCCGATCTATTCTCTGTTTTTCTGGCGACCTTTGGTTGCCTTTGCTGCCCTCTACTGCTCATAGTCTAGCCCACGAACAGCCCTCTTCCTTACTCCTTGGTTTCGACCTTCTCCTCAGCCGATTCCTCTCTCCTTCTCTCATGTTCTTTCTCTATTTCTCTCTGTTTCAATGCCTTTGTATGTCTCTACGTATAAAAGTTTTGTAACCTTTATGCAGACTACATACATGCATATATATAAGCAATAAATTCTAACCTAATCCTACTTCTAATCCAAGTATGCTATAAGGAAAATAAAATAAATGGAAATAAAATAAATAATATAATTATTATATAACCATACGTATATATATAGACACAGTAACATATATACACACACACACACATATATATATATAACAATAATATTAATATAAATATTTATATACACATTAATATATATATATATACCCATAACTTATACCCATGGGTCATATACTTACCCATCTATACTTTCTATCCAAATAGTCCATGAGACCAATTTGGTTGGTCCATTACTATTATTCAAATCCAACTCTTTTAAAATAAAAATACAAATAAAATAAAACAATTAAAACATTTAACCCTAACAATTAATTTTAAATAAACACACATCATTTAAACAAGCGAGCACACAAAATCAATTAATTAAAAACACACAATTTTTTGCACATAATTAATTTAAACAAACAAATCAAATAAACACATAAACCATTCGTCATGTAATCAAATAATCAATTAAAAATGCAATAAAATAAATAATTAAATCCTTTGAAAATTAGGGGTACTACATTTCCTCCCCCCTTAACAAAGGAATTCCGTCATCGGAATTCGCCCTTACCTTATTTCATAATTTCCGGAAACTGTAAGCGAATGTTGTCCTCCCGTTCCCAAGAAGACCCAACCCCATTATGATGGCTCCACTGAACACGTACAAGATGTGTAACCTTGTTGAGAAGTACCTGATCCCTACAATCTATAATATGACACGGTGGCTCCATATAGTTGCATTCGGCTACAGCTCAATCTTACCAACATTGATAAGCTGATAACGATCCTCATCTCGTAGAAATTTTCGCAACATGAAAACATGAAACACATTGTGGACACGATGTAAATGGTTTGGAAGTGTTAACCGATAATCTATAGCTCTAACTCGATCTGTAATAATAAAAGGACTGGCAAAATGCGGTGATAACTTCATTATCTTCTCAAAGCGCATTACTCCCTTCATAAGAGATACTTTGAGCAAAACCTGATCTCCAACCTGAAAATCCAATGCATGAGTACGACGGTCTGCATAACTCTTTTGCTTACTCTGAGCAGTGCGCATACAATCCTTAATAAGAGTGATCTTCTCAGAGATATCCTTAATGAACTCAGCACCCAAGAATTTGCTCTCTCCAACCTCCAACCAACAAACAGGAGATCTACATGGTTGACCATATAAATGCCTCAAATGGTGTCATACCAATAGTCTTCTGAAATATATTGTTGTATGCAAATTCCACAAGTGGTAAATAATCCTCCCAATTGCCCTTAAAATCAAGGACACGAGAACGGAGCATATTCTCCATGATCTGATTAACCCTCTCAGTTTGCCATCAGTCTAAGAATGATAAGCAATGGTAAGATGCAATTCTATACCCAAAGCCTGCTGAAAGATCTTCCAAAATCCTTTAATCCCTATCCGATATTATCTTTAATTTAAGTCTTGAGTTTTGAATATTTATGATTTTGCCCCTCCAAAATTTTACAAAATCTAGTAGATACTTCCAATCAAATCTTGAACTTTAAATATTTTAAATTTGGCCCAAAATCAAACCCACGTCATTTCAAAACTCTCTTGAAATACAATCTCAAACCCATAAAAGTGTATCCTATACTTACTGTACACGATATCAAAATTCAAATTATATCAACTAATTTCCAAGACAACATATACTCAATATCAAAACGTTATAATATGTGTGTATATATATAGGAATGTGTGAATTTTATTTTATCTCTATGTTTTGCTAATACAATGCTTGTTTAGTTTTGATCATTTTTCTCTACATGTCTAATTAATATATCTTTTCATATTTGTTAATGTCTGAAGTCCATTATTTGATATTAATTTAACTCTTTTCACACAAGAGTCCAAGACTACATTCTTATGTGAATGTCATAATTAACAATTTCTTACATAATTAATCAAGCACAAATTTGATAATTTAATTTAATCTAAAATATTAATTTAACAATGTCATAATTAACAATTTCTTATATCCGAGCCATTTTCTTACATAATTATGTCATAATTAACAATTTAATGACAAATTTTTTTTCTCAAACTTTGTACATATCAATTCCCGAATTAACTAGACATGTTTTTGTAAATACTCAATGGATTACAAAATTCATTTGTATATATGTATTTTTTATCTTCTTTTATTGCTATTGTAAAAATTATATATGCTATAATTTATCTTTTATTGCTATTGTAAAAATTATATATGTTATAATTTATATATATATATATTATTATTATTTTACACTATTGGTTGGCCCCCGGGTGAAAGTTTTTGGGTCCGCCGCTGGCTAGCCCCGAGAGGATTCAAAGTCTTGGTTGTGTCTAGAGTGCTTGTAGGGGGTAAAGTATACAATATTCAATAATGAGGGTAAAATAATCATTTCGTTTACTCTGTTAATATCGTCAACCAACATGATAGGAGAGTGTAAAAACTCACTGTCATTTTGGTTCATGGACTTTTACTCACACTATTTTACCCCTTGCTATATATAATCAGAAAAATGCTCTAAAAAAATATAATTGATTTAGATCAAAATAGTTTTAATGGAACCCAAACATGGTACTGTCTGCATGAAAATTATTAAATTGTCCAGACCATGTCTCAATTAAAAAAGTCAATTTTATTTAGGTTTTAAGTAATAGTTAATCTTGTGATTGCATGAAATCATGTGACTTTGGGTTACCTAATAATTTCTCATATGAGGGAGAAAAGAGACCACCTCACGGGAAATAGAGTGCATGATTTATGTGAGGATAACACTCACATAGAACCATACCCATAGGGGTACACAAAGTCTGTCTGGACCCGAAGAATTGTTTGCAAAATTGACTTGTTCGAAAACTCCCTACTGTACTTTCGCGCCACAATGCACTCTGGAGTCCACATGAATAAATAATGGCAAAAACGATGCAATTCAACGAATTTTAATTGAAGATAACTTCAAAACCCTAACCTCTCATTTCATTCTGGCACGCTCGCAGAGGCAGCATCTAAACCCTATATTTATTTAGGTAAGCATCTAAACCCTACATTTTCTATCCTAGCTTATGCGACAATCTCAATCTCCACCGTATACAAAAACCGTAGACCGCTCATCTTCCATCTCATTTTCTGCACCATACACCACATAAATCCATACAAATCCCCAACCCTGCTAATCCATGGCCAAGAAGAAGGTAACCCACCAAGACAAACAACCCAACAGCGAAGAAGAAGAAGAACAGACCCATCAAGCCGCAGCCATGGACGACGCTTCAGAGAAGCTTCAACGCTTGAAGAGCCTCAACAGTATTCTTCTCAAGGAGACCACTGAGAAACGCAAACAACTGGACTCACTCCGCCAGGAAAAAGGGTCTTTGGAATCGGAGCTAACTCGGTCTGAAACGGAAAGGGGGGTCTTGCAGGGCGAGTTGACTCACTTGCAGGACGGTATAGCACGACTGGAGTTGGAGAGGAACTTGGTTTCTGAATTTGTTTCTGTGCAGGTCAATCAACAGGTTGAAGTGATTGCGGAGGAGAGAAATGGGCTTGTGAGAGAAAGAGCAGAGATTGAGGGGAGATTGCAGAATCTAGAGAGAGAAATGAGGGAAGTGGTGAGAGAGAAGAGTGGGATTGAGAAGGCGAAGAGAGAGAGAGAGTCTAAAATTGGGTTGTTGGAGAAGAAATTGAGCGAGCTTCTTGTTGAAATTGAAAAAGAAAGAGATGTATCCAAACATTTGTGGCAAGAGAGGGATGTGGTGAGGACTGAACTTGATGTTCAAATTGAGGAAACAAATGGGTTGAAAGCAGAACTTGTTGAGACAGTGAAGAGAGAGAGGAAAATTCGAGAAGAGTTTCAGAAACTGGAGAGAGAGTACAATGGCCTAATGGTGGAGAAAGAAGAGAGAGAAAGAAGGATTGAATCGATGACAAGGGACATGGAAGCCATTGAGAGAAGCTTGGTGGAGGCGAATCGGGTAATTGAGGAATTGAAGGGAGAGATTGAGAGAATTGTGAGAGAGAGAGAAGGGATTGAGGAGGAGAGAAATGTGGAAGCGAGAAAGAAAATTGAGTTGGAAAGTTTTGTGTCTGAGCTCAAGAAGATGCTACTGCTTCTGCAAAAGAAGGAAGAGAGGTTGCGCGTGAACGTTGCCGAATTGGAGAAGTGGTGTGTTGAAGGTGTGGAGAAGGAAAAGAAGATGGTGATGGAGATTGATGTATTGGTGGATGAGAAGAAGAAGAGGGAAAAGAGCTTTGAGAGCTTAATTGAAGAAAAGGGTGTCATCGTGAAAGATTTGGACGAGGCTTTGAAGCAGTTAGATTATCAAAAGCAAATGTTGGATGAAATTGTTAGAGAGAAAATTGAGATTGATGAAGTGAAAGTCAGTAGGGAAAGTGAAATTGTTGAAATGCAGAAAGAGACTGCTAAACTTAGGAATGTTGTATCAGTTTTGGAAGAGTCGAGCAAGGATCAAGTAAAGAAAAATGGGCAATTACAATCTGAAGTTATCAAGTATAGAGATGTATTGAATTTAGTCACAATTGAAAGGGATGAGACTAGAAAAGGACTTGATGAGGAGAAAATGAATGGTACAAGGTTGAGAGCGAAAATTTTGGAACTAGAGAACAATATTGAAGAATCCCACAAGACAGTAGGGCAAGTGAAGGATGAAAATTGCAGCCTAACGCGGGAAAAGGAAGAGTTGCAAAGCCGGTGTACGATGTTGATGGATGAAATAGCTTCACTAAAGAATACACTTTCAAAAACCCAAAAAGATTTTGATGATATGCAGGCCAAAGTGGAAGTAGCGGATTGTATCTCGGAGCTTGCGTTAAACATGTTGAGGAACACGGCTTCATTGGTTCGTCAGATTAAAGATGAAGGAGGCGTTATGGAGGAAAGTTTGCTCAACAATGAAGAGAAGGTAGGAGAAGAAATGGAGCCTTATGCCGCGGAATTGGAAGCTATCAAGAACTCTTTCAAGAACAGGGAGAGTAGGGTAGAGGACTTGAAGCGACAAGTCGAGTTTTTGCAAAATGCTGTAGGAGAAGCTCATAAGAAGAAGAGTTTCTGGACTTTGGTGTCCTCTGCAACAACAATTTTTGCTGCTGCAGCTTCTGTTGCATACATTGCTCGTGGTCGATAAGCGTGGCTGTTCTTTTTGTCACCAATTGTAAGAAGAAAGTAGTCATGGATGTGGAAATCATGTCCTAGATGTTCTTGATCACTTCTTAAACATAAGGAACTGTAGTTGTCCTATGCTTTTCATATGTTATTATGCAATATTTTGATGTTATTTTTTGCGTATTCAAATCCTACAAAGTTATGTTCACTTGCAGTAATGTTCTTTTATCCCTCTTTTGGCTCATGGGGAAAAGAATTATTCCATTGAATACTATAATCTCTCCCTCAAACTCTGTTTTGTGGATTATAAAAGTTTATAAATTTTCAAATATTACTTTCTATTCAATCAAACAATCAATTAAAGCAAAATATAAAGCATGAACTTTTATCACAGCAAAAAGACAAGATTTGAATTGAGAACCTAAAGGAAAAATTATGAGACTTGTTCATGTGCACCACTCCTAGGTTCCATATCCTTATCCTATGTTGATTTGCCTATGATCCAGAGATTTATGACTGATTAGAAGCTGATGATCAATGAATTTGTCTCCACACTGTTAGACATGTTCATTCACTCTTGCTTTTCTACAAATCTCTTTGTAGGTATCAAGATCTCGCTTTTAATCCGACTCAGGTCTCCACTAAACCAGATAGGATCCGATCTTGTGCACAGCACGGTGTTGTCGTTCAGACAACAGAAAGACACATGCGTACAAATAATCTATATTCGGTCAATCTCACTGGGTAAAAGGAACCCCAAAAAGCTAACATCTTTTTCATGAATAGTTGGAAGAGCAAGCATAGTAATTTCCTATAAGGTTTAAGGAACCCTATGTGACAGATTGAGTGAGAACAACCTAATGCGAGGGTTAGCATTTCAGCCCTAATATCTATGAAAATTCCATCACCAAACACAAAAAATATCCTGTTAAAACTTTGCAGTCCTAGTCATTTTCCATGATTAAAACAATACTTATTAGATGACAAGAACTTCCATATACTGTCAGCCAATAAATGATGATTACCCTTTAACCAGCTAAATCAGAAAAGAACAAATTAAAGAAAATATAATATATAATCATCATATAAAACAGAGAAAAATCATAACTAGATGAATTTACAAAGGCTTACATGTATGTCCAAGCCAAACAGAGGTCTGCATGTCTTTGTCCAAAGCTCCACTGTTTATTACAGTATCATTTTCAAAAAGCATATCCCCACCAGCATAAAAGCAATGTGTGTGGCTCTGATGTGGTCCCTTTTGTACATTTAAATTTCAACCACTTACCATATGGGTTATCCACCCCTGTCAAAACAAGCCAGTTTTTGTATATGCTTCAATCCCTAGTTCTACATCACTCATCCACAACAATAGGCATTGACAAGAAAAAAATTCACACAAAAAGGTTCAAAATATAAATTGATTGTGGACTTAAATGCTGAATACAAAATCTTATCCGAACTGTTCCAATAATGCAATTCCAGCAACTTGACACTTTCACGTCGACCTTTTTTTATTTTTTATTTTTTCTTAAGTTGAAATAATATGGTATCGATATGCCTTTTGCATCAACTTCAACATTCAAACCTGATTCCCATATCCATTGCCAGAAATAAGAACAAAAACTTTTACTCTAAAATTGTCCCTGGAACAACCTAACCTTACTTCTCAACGAATGCTGTATCACCCACATACAGAGTCGAGACGTTCTATGAATCCATTCACACATCTGTGAGCATATTTTGCAAATGAATCTCGAGAATGTAAGATTAGATTATGGTGCTTTAACACATATTGACAGCATATCGATGAACAGTTCACAGTAGTTTCATTCAATATAGTAAGAACAAGACTATTAGAGCCTGTAGTTAGTATAGAAGTCCCTCATTCTCCACAAAATACTGTTTTAGTGAAAAAGGAAAGACAAACACTCCATTAAAGTTTCTGAACCTTCAACTTGAATAACAAAAAACTAGAAATATTTAAGTTCAAATAAGAAGGTTCAACTGTAATCTAAGAGGCCTTGAGGTTAAATTCATTAACGTCGATTACATTTCATCTAAATCCCGAAATAAATTTTGAAATCTTTGCATCTTTGATTCAAGCATACAGTGAAAATGACTTCACTTTTCCATACAACTGCCAAAATGAATAACAACTGCAGAACAAGTTCAGCATATAGAGAGAAGATCAAAGGCAGTCAAGAAGAACAGTAAACAGCAAATAAGCAAACATCTTTATATAATTCTAGAACACGTGTATAAACATTGTACAAGTTCACAATACCGTGGATGTTTCCCATCCATGTCCTAAAATTAGCTATATAACCTTAGTTAGGCACCGATCCCAAATTGATCGGCCACCAAACGTTACCCCCATATTCCTGTCTTCCACTCCTTTGGTGCCAGAAGTCAGAAAGGGTAATCTTGAATTGGTGGATATGCTAAACTTTGCTAAATGGCTTTACAAGCCAGAACTATTTCAATTCAAACCATATAATCCAGAGTCCAGATACCTGGGTAACAACGGGATAGACAACATTCCAATCAAACTAGATGCTCAACCATGCTTGCTGCACCAACAACCAAACCCAGCCAACTTTCATCCAAGATGAACCGAGCAGAATAGATAACAACAGGATATACTAAAAGCTGAAGCAGTAATACTACACAATCTTATAAACTGAAAGCAAGCCCTTCCAAAATTAATAAACCATAGGTGAACTGTCAAGCTTCGTTTACACATTGCTGCTTGTCAGGAATTCTAAACCTATTAACCATTAAGTTTCCACAAAGTGACTTATCTCATCCATGACGGTATAGAAGTGCTTGTTGTTAGGCAACAAGTAGAACCCAATGGTTGCCTGCTCCAAGTATAGAAGCTTCACATTCTGGCCAGCCCTCCTAAGCCCCTCAGCATATGCCAACTGCCAATCCTGAACAAGGTCCAAACCAGCCACCACAACAAGACTCTTGGGGAACTTAATTCCTTCAAGGCTTATACCATTGGGACCAAATGGGTTGCATGCTGGATGGTCCCTGTTCTCCCCTTCAGGGAGAAATGCTCGCCAGTACCAGTCCCGGTCTTGTAGAGTGACAAAATATTTCCCATCTAATCGCGTCTCTGATTCAGTTCTCATTTGGCCTCCGAACATTGGATTGAGCAATATGTTTCCCAATACTTCAATGTTTGATTCTATAGCTCTAAAAGCAACATTGTGAACTATATTACCACCAGAGCTATCTCCTGCCAAGTATATATGAACTTTTGAGTCCTTCCCACTCTTAAGCCATGGTCTTGAGTTAACCCAAGTGAGAACTGTACAACCATCATCATAGGCACAAGGGTACCTGTTTTCAGGTGCTCGACGGTAATCCACTGATACCACTACAGCTTCACAAATGCCCACTAAACGTCGACAAAGCATGTCATATATAGAACTATTGGCAGAGGAGTGTGCAAAGCTTCCACCATGGAAAAAAATAATGACAGGGACAATATTAGAGCTCACGGGCTTCTCAAAATCAACAAGGGTTGGCCGACCTTCCTCAGCATTAGCCATCCGATAGATTCGACATATGAGGTTAGTGCCACGGTCAATAAGGACATCAAAAGAGAAAACCCCATCAACCGGATTTGAGTTAGCAGGCAGTTTCCGGTCAAGGAACTCTTCCAAGTGACGATTGAAAGTGCCGTCTGGGCGACGTAGAAGATTGTAAGCCAGCTTGAAATTAGAGATGAGGACCCATGTATTCAGGGGAACCACCATCTATACACAAAATGGAGTCAAATTTGATAATTTTGACATTTCAAGTCACAAAGCATGATAACATGTACTGCATATAGCAAACTGCCTCATCTACATCCATTACCCACATGAATTACTCGAAAATTAATTATAATCACAAGGATTTGCAGTAATTATGTGCTAACATTGTAAAAAATGAGTTGACAGAGAAACAGAAAAATTCAAGAAAACCCGAAATGAACCGAAGATTTTAAGATATAATCAGAGATATTAAACCCAAAATGAAATAAACCAAAGAATTAAAACAAACCCATCAATAAATCATCGTTTAAAATCAATGATAGTTGATCAATGCCCCCTGAAAATACCACTTAAACCCTAAATTAAGTTAAATGAACCAAAGATATAATCAGAAAAATGAAACCCAAAAATTAAATGAACCAACGAAGTACAACAATACCATCAATAAATCATCGTCTAATCATGATAATTGATCAAAACCCCTGAAAAACCCACTTAAAACCTAAACTTAGACCCAAAGAAACAAATTTACTAATCAAAACCACAAAACCAAAACCCATCAATTGAAGAACAAAACAATTAAAATATACCCATCAATCAACATGTACATAATTGGTCATCAAACAACAGAACCATATATCATACATATATTATCTGTGTGTATATGAAGAGGAAATGAAATTGGGTACCTTAGACTCGTTGAGATTAACTTCATTACTACCAGCCATAAGACTGTTCTTGAAGAAGAATTAGCCACAAAATGAGAAAAATCTCTTCAGACAACAGATCACAGTTCTAAGCACCAAATGAGAAAAATCCTAATCGCGTTTCTCACACTCTAAGATCATTCTTCTCAATCGCGGACAATTTTATGAAACAGAGGAGAAGAGAGAGTGGCGTGAGGAAAGAGAAAGAAACGGGATGATGCTGACGGCGTAGCCTTTATGGGCTCCGATGGATGCGAATTGACCCCTAATGAAAATTTTCATAATGATACAAAAAAAAAAAAAAATTAAAGTTTTTTGTAATTATCCTTTATGCCATGTACTAAAACAAATAAATAAATAAAAGCTGAGAGAGATGCAGATGCATCTTAGCAGCAGAAAGTGATGGGAATAATTTTTTGTCACTTAAAAAAGAACAACAGTATCAAGTTTTAAATTTTCTTATACATTTTTTTTAAATGTCTAAAATACTTATAAATGTATACCATAACCAACACAACTTGCTATAGGGCTTTTAATCAATTAAAATAATCACAATAAAAACAAAATATGTTTGTCTTGACGTGACTATTTCATGATTATCTCTATATTCACACTCAATTTGTTAGACAGCTTTCAATCTAATATCGTCTTAAAAAAAATTCACAATAAAAACAAAAGACTATATCTTTTTATAGAAGTTTCAATAATGATACATATTGTAACCCAAATTTAAATTCTAAATCAAAACCAAATTTATTAAGAGTGTCTTCTATTATATAAAATTAGAGTTTTAGAATTAAAATCAGTGAAATTTAAGAAAATAATTAAAAAAATTGAATTATATAAAATTTTAGTTTTAGAATTAGGGTCGGTGAAATTTAAAAAAATAATTAAATTAATTTTTTTTCAAATTCCACGAATTTACTTGAATCAAATTTGAGACGAAACCTACCTCATTTCTAACCAAATTGATTTTGCACTAACCAAATTGATTTTGATCTTACCATTTCTCTTGTGTTCTCCTCATACGAACTGTAGCACTAAATCCTTCATTTAACTAACATAAAATGAAAAATTAATTAACCGGAGGGAGAGAGATTAACAACTTTTCTTTTATTTTTTTATTTTTATTTTTTATTTTTTTTTTAAAAAAAAAGAATGAAAGAAAGAAAGAAGGCTTAATACTCATAAATTTTCCTTAACTAGCAGCATTACAGAAAAATGAAAAGAGTAATGGACTTAATTATTCTATTTAAAAAAAAAAAAATTAACTAGAGATAAATCTTATAACTTTTGTTAATAGAAAAAAAAAAAAAAAAGAGGAAAGTATGGAAAGCAAACAATTATTTGTGGTCAAGAGTGTTTAAAATTGTTGCAGCAATAATTTTTTTCTTAGCTAAAAGATGTATGAATAGAGTTGTTTCGGCTCTAAAATTAGTTCTTTTAAAACTCGGTCGAACTCATTTACCAAGAAATGAGTCATGCTCGATCTTCAATTCGTTTAGTAAAAGTTTTTTAGACTTTAGTATTTTTCAATTGATTTGATTTTTATCAATTTTTAAATGTAGTGTTCTTAACTGTATTTTATTTACGTAAGGTTTCATTTTTTTTTTTTTTACAATAAAATTGTTTGTTATGAAATTAATACCTATCAAGTTTATTTGTAATTTTAACTCTTGTCTTTATTAAAATTTAAGGTCATTATGAATTAAATTAAAATTTATAAAACAACTTTTGTTGATCCAAGAGTACTTTAACTCATCTTTTGTGTTAGAAAACAAAAGATGAGGGTGCAATAAACAAAACGAAACAAAACTGATCAGTAATGACAATTATATGTGTACATATACATACATTATTTTATACACATGTTCAATTATTATTAAATGTGAATATAATTTATCATAAAACACAGTACATAGAATCAATATATATATATATATATATATATATATATGTGCATATATTCACATATTATTTTTCAGAATATATATAAATAAGAAATCTAAATTTGTTTTATTAATTTTAACAGTTGAGTTTGATTATTTAAAAGTCAATTTAATTAGTAGTAGTATGATTTGTTGCATAAAACAAAGCGTGTGGCAAGAATATATGGTCAAATGCAACATACATCACAAGACTGGATGAGGACAGAGGTGAGAGAAACGACAAATTGAGCTGCCGTGTTTGTTTTTCTTTTTTTTTGGGACCCACCAAATAAAATTATTTAATTGATTTTCAATTTTTTTTTTATTTTATTTTAGAAAATTAAAAGAAAAAGAGAAGAGACAAAAAACAAAGGGACAAAAGCTTGCGTTCGTGCAGGGCACGTGACAGCGAACGGAGTCCGTCGTGTACTGCCTTGCCTTTCAGAGGGTGATATGACAAAACTGTTGTTTTATGTACGTCCTATCTACCAAAATGCCAGTCAGAGAAAATAGGAGATAGGCACATGAGTGGCACGTGCAAACTCCTGCCGCCAGTTTCAACCCTTATTAGGAGGAGACTTTCCTTTTGATTTGTGACGTTTGTAGTTAAAGGGCATGTATGTGACAAATTCTAACATGGCTTTTACAATTGTAATTAAATTTAGAAAATAATATAATTGTAAGTTGTAACGCTTTTTTACCCATGGGAATTAGTGATAAAAGAAAAAAGTTTTGCTGTTTTTAAAAATTATTGGGTACAAGAGTTTTTGTTAAACTTTTTTTATTAGACTAATTACAAAATTGCTCGGTTTTTATAACATTGCTCATTTGCTCTTAAATTTACAGGGGTAGTTGTTTTGTGGGGTTGGTAAATTGTTTGAACTTTCAGGGAAGAGAACACAAATTTGAATCTTGATATGAATTGAAAGCTTCACACTAAAATAATTGGTTTGTTTTGGGGGTGTTTTTCAACTTAAGACTGTTTACCATGTAGTCCAGTTTTCTAAATATAAGGTCATGCGTTTAAATGTGTGAAAGAGCATGTGAATTTGTGAGTTTATCCAATTAATTAATAAATTAATTTTTTCTAAAAAATTAATAATGGTAAGATTTCACTGCAATTTAATACCTCCTCAATCTTCAAAGTAAAATACTCATGAAACTAAAATAAAAGGTTGAGATTTAAGTTCAAGACAAAGTGGGTGCTAGAGCGAGGTGGAGATTTAAGTCAATTGGGGGTTGTATTATTTGTGAAGAAATAAGATACATATATTTATTGTTGGGTTGAGGACAATAAACATTTCTATTGTATGAATACATGACATATAACTTTTTATATGTTTTTAAAAGTTTTTAAATCTTTACTTCTGATACGAACAAGAGTTGTCAATGCAGCGTTTAAAAGACTAAAATGCATTTATGTAATTGAATAAAAAAAATTAAAAAATTAAGTAAATGTAAAATGACTAAAATGCATAGAAAAAATGTGATTTATATATAAGGAATAAGGAACATTTTGTGGATAGCGAAAGGGTGTTTTAGTAATTTTCTAACTTAAAATAGTCATGGGTAATACACCTGAGTTCTTAAAGGTCATTTTCTAACCTTAAATTTTTGTCATATTTTTTAGACTTAACGACCTTATATAACCAAAATAAAGAATATAGGTATTATTTACCCAAAATATAAATATTAGAAATGTTTTCCTCACTTTGCCCTTTCTTCTTCTTAGTATATTTTTATCTTGTCTCATTTTTAAAACAGTAGCTATAGTTTGGTGGTACATTTTGCCTTTTAAGTTTGAAATTAAAGTTATAAATTAGAAGAGTGAGTGTTCAATAGTGAACAAGTTAATTTCTTGTTGAAAAATAATAATAATAAATAAATAAAATAAAATAAAAAACATTAAAAATTATTTGGTTTATAACTCTATAAACAATCTTCAATAATTCACAAAATTAAAAATTATTTTTAAAAAATTATAAAAACATATTTTTTATTATTGAAATTTCAAAATTGCTAGTCTCTCATTTTCCTCAGTCTCATATTTTCCAAGTTAATTATCCTTTTCTTCTGTGGTTGAGAATGAGAGGCAAACCCGCAATAGAAAAACCTGTTTGTTTGCTATTTCAAAACATGTTCACATCATCGGGCGTGTTTCTGATTAACTTCATCTAGCACTCCAATTTTGTTCTTTTGGTATTGCAAATTCCTTGTATGGGCAGTGTGGTTTATCATGCAGGGCTAGGGTTGTCATCATCCCATTCACGACTGAGATTACCCAGTTTTAGAATTGCAAGTTTGATTGAACCCAATGTGTCATCAAGATGGCAAGTCTTGGAACAAGTTGACAAGGAGCTAAGAAAAGGGGATGAAAGAGCTGCACTTGTACTTGTCAAGGATTTGCAGGCCAGACCTGGGGGTCTGCGTTGTTTTGGTGCTGCAAGGCAGGTTTGATTGCTTCAGTTTTCTATTTTATTTTATTTTTATTTATTTATTTATTTTTTTAAATGCAACCCATTTTAATGTTTGTTCTTTGGATTTGAAATGTTGAAGTTCCTGGCTTTGCAATTTGGGATTTTTAATTAAATTGTATTTCACCCATGTGTGCTATGGAAGACTATAATGACCCCCGCAAATGTTAAGCAAATGAAATTTTTGTTAGAATCGCCCTTTTGAGCTATGAATTTTTTTTAAGGATTAATGAAATTATCTTCACCCATGTGTTATTGTGGAAGGTTCTAATCCTACAAAAAAATTGCTTTTTACTTGGTGGAATTATTTTAAGGAACTAAAATTTTAATTCGAATTGCTCATTGTGTTTTTGACTAATGATTAGTGTTTGATTAGGAATGAATGAGGTCCAAAGTCATTTGGATCATTCTATAATGTACTGGTTTATAATTTTTAGAGAGCATGGTTTTCAGATTATTGTTTAAGTGTGTGAACCAGTTATGGTATATATAGGTGGCACCGAGCTTGTGCTTGGTTAGAGAGTACAGTTTCAAGTAGCATCATTAGGAGTTTACCATATCTACATGAGAATGCAAATGAATCACTATAAACTATGATAAGCACATATGTTCTTTATCACAATTTATGATATTTATCTTACAACAACTTGGAGCTTGGTATGCTGAATGAGTGGATTTACTGCACAGGTACCCCAGAGGCTCTACACCTTGGATGAACTAAAACTGAATGGAATAGAAACTTCGTCTATTCTATCGCCGGAGGATGCAACACTTGGCTCCATAGAAAGAAACCTGCAGCTTGCAGGTGTTTTAGGAGGAATTTCTGCATGGAATGTGTTCGGATTTAGCACACAACAAATCTTCTATTTCTCCTTGGGATTGTTGTTTCTATGGACACTGGACTCGGTAACTTATTCATGTTTATCTGACTGTCACCTTTTATAGAAACATGTTACCTTAATTGGTCAATATTTCACATACGCGAACAGACTCATTTGCATTGACTTGTGGAGCTGTCTTGTTTGCTTTACATTCCTTTTGCCCAAATATAACCTTGGACACCATTTGGGTAGCCTTGATATAGAAAGATGGAATTTGTAGATTTCTAATATAGTTTATGACTTCTATTTGCATGTGAACTGTGAAGTCTATTATGAATTACCCCATGTCCTAACCTTTTCCTGAGAGTCATATATTACAGAAAAAGAAGAAGATTAGTTTTGTGATCATCTGCTGGAATTGCATTGTTAGTTGTTTTACATGTAATAGATAAAAACACAAACACTGGATCCATGTCCCTAACTTTTTTAAAGTTGAGGCTAATCCCTATGGGTGCACAAAATTACTCGCAAACTGTCTGCATCTGATAAGGACGAGGAAAGTTCAACTTGGGATGAGCTTCCTTTTTGTTGTTGTTGAAATCCTCATGTTTGATTTTAATGACTGACTCAGATATCGTGTGTTCATAGGTTTCTTTTAATGGAGGAGTCAGCAACTTGGTTCTTGATACAATTGGTCACACCTTTAGCCAAAAGTACCACAATAGGGTTATTCAAGTAAGATCTCTATCTGTGTATGTGTGTATGTGTGTGTGTGAGCGCGTGCGCCTTTGTGTGTTCAATCTCTTCTGTTAATTGGGCCATTGCCTGGTAAAAGCTCCTGTTGCCAAGTGTGACATCATGCAGTTTTAAGTTTGGGAAGAAACACTTATGTAAATGTCAAATGTTACTGCTGTATTGTTCCAGCCCTCTTAATACCTCACATTGACGTAATACTGGGTAATGGCCTTTTTTCTTTTCTTTTTTTCATTATGTGATGTATAATTAGAGAAACATCCGTGCAAATTACTTTGCATGTATATGATGACATTCAAACTTTTTGTTCCAAACATTGAAATGTGTTAAAGAGGTGTAACTCTGTTTGTATACTTTTGGTCTTACCTTTTTAGCTGCGCACATTTTTATCAGCATGTAAGTCTGCTAATTATCTATTTACCGAAAAAAAAAAAAGAAGGTCTGCTAATTATCACATCTTGATGAGAATGATTTCTCTCGTCTTGAATTGATCATCTCACAAAATTTAATGCAGCATGAAGCTGGCCATTTCTTAATTGCTTACTTGCTGGGAATTCTTCCCAAGGGGTATACGCTATCAAGTCTGGAAGCTTTGAAGAAGGAAGGATCACTCAATGTTCAGGCAGGAACTGCGTTTGTGGATCTTGAGTTTGTTGAAGAAGTAGGTTTCTTCAAAATTTTAGTACCATTTCTAATAGGCTTTCGTAACTGTTACATTATTTGTGCTTTTGTTGTCTTGGCCCTGGCCCTTTTACTTTTTTTATATTTTATTTTTAAAATTTATTGTTGGGTTGGGTTTGGAGCTGGGAGAGGTGTTGATCCTCATACTCTCGTAACTAACCTATGGAGGAGCACCCTACCACACCTTCTCTGGTATGCGGGAAATGTATGGTTCTTGTCAGTAGCTGTTACCTGTGGCAAGGTATAGAAGATATTTTCACCATAGCTGATGGCATTTTGTGTAAGCCTTAAGTGAAGTTGCCACTATATCCATGGAGGAGGTAGTCTATACTCCCTATACTATGATGCCTTATTGAACCAGCAAGGCATAAATAGCTAGAAATTTGAATAAAAGCTTCAATAATTGGTTAATCCGAAGGCTAAAAAAGACGGAACTATGAGCTAATATACCAACATAAATGTTTTTGCTCTGCGCCAGAATCAATATATTGAATTGCTGCATGTTAATTTTTTTAATGCTTAGATCTACCTGAATCATGTCTCATAACTTGTACCTTTACCTTAAGAGAGGACAATAGACCTCTATGAAATTTAAGGTGTTATTGAGTCACCATTCCTGGTTTTGCATTTTTACTGTTTTGGACCATACATTGCGATGTATTGGCTCAATTTTGAGGCCGATTACATACAATTTTCTCAAGGCATGGATGATACAGTCTGCTTCCATACTGACACTAATATTGTATTTAAGGCCAAAAATCTGAAACTATAAAATGGCATCCCATAAATGTAAAGCTATTGGAAATCAGTTGTTGATTGACAATTAACACCCTGAAAATTGTTGATGACAAAAGCTTTATTTGACCATTGCTAAATAAAATAGTCTAGTAGAAGAATTTGGAGAGATTTTAATTTTTGATTTATTACGTGTCTTTGTCCTTTGATGTGCAGCTGTTCACATAATATGCAGGTTACTGCTGGAAAAGTATCCTCCACGGTATTTCTCCTTTCACATGATCATTGCTTCATGTAGATATTGCAGATTGAATGTTTCTCCATGACTTATCGATTCTATCTTGTCAGAAGTAAAGAAGTTCTAACGTAGGTATACTTCTTATTAGATGCTGAACAGATTCTCTTGTATAGCACTAGCGGGCGTGGCAACTGAGTATCTTCTATATGGATACTCTGAGGGAGGCCTTTCTGATATCAATAAGGTTTACACTTATCCTCTCTGCTTATTTTCTAAAAAGAATTTCTGTCACAACAGAGAGCTGAATGCAAAGAGCAGCGAGTTCATGTTTTAGAATGTGATAGAGTTTACTCAATCAGAGTCCATTTGCATATAGCCATGTTAGTGCCACAATCATCCACTCATTTTTCGAGGGTGCCATAGTAAATCACTCATTTTTGCTTCATTGAGTTAAGTGACTCATTTTCACTTCATTGAGTTAAATGAGGACCCAATGCATCAGCTCGAAGCATATCCACTTTGACTCAGTGTCACTAGAGTTGATTGACCGTAAAGCTAGACAGTATTTAGTTTAACAGTAAAAAGGAACAAAACCCAATTCTTTTCCCGCCATTGCAGGGACCGGGGAGGCTTCTTAAACTTTAAGCTTCTCATTCAACGATAATTTCAACAATCTTAGGCACGCTCTTGATATTCGTTCACATTAACAATCTTATGCAAATCATTTTGTCATTTCATCTGAAATTTTGGTGTCCTCTCTTGGCCGGTAACAACAGGTTCCTTTGGCTGAGTTACTTATGACATGGATGATACAATGTACAGTAGTTATATGACTAACTGAATGATTTTATTGATGTAACAGTTGGACATGTTGCTCCAAAGCTTGGGTTTCACTCAGAAGAAGGCGGATTCTCAGGTGAGGTGGGCTGTTCTCAATACTATTCTAATATTGCGTCGCCATGAAGGAGCCCGAGCAAAGCTAGCAGAGGCCATGTCTCAGGAAAAATCTGTGGGTTTTTGCATTGACATTATAGAGAAAGCCATAGACGAAGCAGACCTATAGTCTTCGACTTGGTTACACTGGTGCCTGAAGTTCAATTTATTAAAACCATTATTTTATGGTTTTCTTATTTTGAGGTTTATGATTACTAATCTGATGATTGGTTCAACCACTACCAATACCTTGTTTTTATTTTCCTTTCGGGGATTAATAGTTTGATTCTCAGTTGTTCATATATGTGAAATGTATCCAGCCAGATAAAAATTGAAGCTAAACTGTAATGAGAGGCAAAAGTCAACATTCAAGCTTTCTTTAAAGTTCAAGACTGTTTAACTTCTATGGAAATGAAATTATTCCACTGTAGTCTTTCCTCTTATGTGCAAACAAAATCTCTCTCCTTGTGTGTGTTTTGTAGTTGTTGTTGACGATGGATTCGACGACTGTATTCGCGAAGTGGCAATCTGAGTCAGGTTAATGAACAAGGCTCTACTATCTCATAATCAAATCAACTTATTGTAGAAATACGGTTTGGAAGTATTGAATCGGCACATTGAATTTAAAATTAAAAGAAATTTATTTCAGAAGTGCTCCAACTGCCTAAAATAACTGTTTTGTCCCATGGAAAAAAAGAAATAAAATAAAAGAAAAGCTCCAAAGCAAATAGCCCATCGCATTATCATGCAAATTAAAACTTTTTTTTTTTTTTGACTTTCTTGTGGCAAATTTAACTCGCACTCATTTGTTAATACACTTACACTCTTGGCTTATCACTGCACTATAATTGTAGTATTTGTCCAAAGAGCATTACTATTTGGGCTGAAATAGTCTTAAACCAGAGAAATTATTACATAGTTGTGCAATTAGTTATCTTAGCTAGTCATTAATTAATAATTGACATTTAAGAAAAATATTGATTAAAAGTTATGCAAAAGTGACATAGTTAGTGACATTTAAGGAAAAAAATTCATTAAAACCCATGCAAAAGTGACATATTTACTGGGATAATAATTGGTGATTGATCCAGAACCAATGATCCCAATACCATATAATAATTTATCTTCAAATGGATGATCAATGGGTCGTGTGGAGCCACTACTATTAAGTTGGATTTGACACTCTCATATTACGATGTTTCAATTTAAATACTGTTATCAAAACTTGCCTTAAATTATGAAAAATCAATCATGTCACACATCATCAATGCGTCAAAATTAATTTTTTTATGATCCCAAACCTCCTACTAATTTCATATTAATTTCTTTACACATTCTGTCCCCTAAAAACATTGGCCTCTAAAGAATTTTTTGATTCCATTTGTGTGGACACATTTTATTGTATTTCATTTGGCTTTGCTTAATAGGCGGGACTTTTGTCGTTGGTAGTTACTAAAAAAACCTAGGGAAGGGACATTGACCTTGAGATGAAGTTTTTCAGGGCAACAATATCAGGAAGACCACTCTCTCTTCTCTCTTCTCAATTTATCTGTATGTGTCATGGAGGTAGGATACTGAATTCTTGTGTGCCATGGCCTGCTCACGCTGTTGATCATGGTATCATTATTCTGCCATCATCGGCCCATCTTTCAGGGGACTTTCATCGAACACATTCACTACTTCATCACTTTTGGTGCTTACCATTATCTCCGGTATTATGCATAAACTATCTTAAATTACACCTAGTATATATTTACATACCCTCTCTCTCTCCATTCTCCAATTTCATTTCTTATTCTTTGATTAATTTCATACTATACATTTATTATAGGAGATTTGTTGGGCTTGTCCTCGGCTCTAAAGGCATCAATGCACTCCTTTCCCTCAAGCATTACTGCTGCGATCGACCCAACCCTATCTTACAGGTTTCACTTTCTTACATTTTGTCATGCATACATATGTGTAATATATATGTATATACACTGTATCTACTTAAGTCACCACATAAGTCCAGTGACAGACCAGAGAATTGTATGAGAGGAGGCGGACGCATTTATAGTTGGGTATTATTAAAAATTGAGTGGGGACGTTTTTAAGATTGTAACAAAAATTATATGTATTTTTGTAAATAAAAGAATGGGGGCGGCTGCCCCCACTGATCCCTTAATAGGTCCGTCCCTGCACATAACCCAAAAGTTAGTGAGATGATTGGTTTCGATTTTTCGTGCCCTTTTTTTTATTATTTTTTTTTGGGGTACTTTTTGGGTTAATTTGGACAGCTAGGGTTCACCTGTTAGTTGTCCTGCTGGGTCATTTTTTCTCTTGAAAATTGATTTTATCACCATTTTGTATTTGACATAAGATTAGGGACAACTGCATGGTGTATTGTTAAAATGCTCAGCTTGTTAGGCAGTTGAGAGCAGTCACTTTGTGCAAATAATGCCAAATATCAGGTCCCAGGGACCACACTGGATAAATGAACTTATGACCCTTTGTTGGACATAAGATTGTAAATTGAGCTCATCTACAGACAATGAAGCCGATTGTGTAAGCCACAAAAACTTTAGAATTGCATAAACACTTCCACACCCTTAAAAGGGCTTCCTATTCCTTTCATTCTATGTATTCAACACAATGCTAAGTAGAGCTGGCATCCACAACTTGCTTGCCTTCCTCTAAACATGGCTACCTTTCCAACTTCCAGACGGGATACTGAGGCATCATCTTCACCAATCCATAGAGAGAAAAGAACACACCGTAATTACCTCACAACTGCACTAATGAAACAGAAAGTTACTCACACTTTTCTCTATCCCTTTACACATACGACCTATTTACATGGATTTAGGTTTGTCTATCAGGTGCTTGTGTGTGTCCAAGTGTTGGTGCTCCTTAAATCCCAATTTTTAAGATACAAAAAATTGACTTGAAATATGTCTAATAAAGGTTTCCTTTTCTTAAAAGAAATTGGGTTGGCATGCTGTTAATAATTTATATCACGTCTTTTGTTGTAGATCATATATCTGGCAATTAATGGAGCTTATTATTACATTATTGCGAAGACATGCTTTTGCTATATTCCTGGGTATTATCTAAGTGGAGTTCATAGGTACAACATCAACCACTGCATATATTAACTCCCTCACACTTTGTAAGGTTCTCTTCTATTAAATATCTTTTTGAATCTCATTGGACGCCGTATCTTCTTGCAGGTACACAAGCTTTTTGGCGGTTGGTGTGGGTATTCTACTCTTTCTGTTGGTTTGCTTTTCTGATCCAGGAACTGTGAATGCTGAGAATGTTTCTCAATATCTTTCTGCCTATCCTTACGATAATATCATCTTTTTGGAGAAAGAATGTTCAACTTGCAAGATTTTAAAGTGAGTTCATGGGTTTGGTAGTAAGAATATTTAAAATTCACCCTTATAATATACCCTGATGGGATTTACCAGTTGATTCAGACCTGCTAGGTCCAAGCACTGCAGAATATGTGATCGGTGTGTTGCTCGGTTTGACCATCATTGCGGATGGATGGTTCGCTTTTTCTTACTCCATTCTTTTTGTTTGTGTGGAATTAGATTTTTAGGTGGTGTATATTTAACATTTTCTTTTTCTCCTCAAAGTTCTGTATTTTTTTCATTTGCTACAGAATAATTGCATAGGGGAGCGAAACACCCGATACTTCATGGCTTTTCTTCTTTGGTAAGATTTATCACTGTTAGCAGCAATTGTTATATTTCAAGTTAGCAAAATGGGTATTAATTGGATCTACTGACTTGCCCTTTGTGTACTTCTGTTCTTATGCTTAAAAAATGATCCATATTTAGGACTTTAATTTTTTATTTTTTTAACAAATGGATCCACTTATTTTTAATCTAATGTTAAAACTAGCATAGTAATTGTAATTTGTAACAGTAATGAATGGGTCACCAAACAAGGTTTTAAACATCAACTTCAGGTTGCCTATGCATCCCCATTAGTTGAAATATTTTGTGAAAACAGAAGGGGAAAAACTGAATGTAGGATTTTAGATATCAGTTTTTAAATAAAGTTTGTCAATGTGGAATTTCCAATTTTGGACTTCACAATTGTGGAGGGTGTAAACCCAATCCGCAAGTGCGCATTTGGTGTTTGCACCATCTAACCGAATTGTTTGGTCCTCTCCACCTTTGAGTAATACAGCAATATGCTGCATCCATTTTGATCCTTATATCTATTTGTAGTAAGTGTTTCTTTAGTCTTATGCAGGCATCTCCTTCTTTGTTTATATGGAACAGTAGGCATCGGGTTGCTTATTGCTGGTCGGTTGAAAGAATTAAAAGTTATATACATTCTAACAGGTGCATTTTATTTGTATATAACATCTTGTAGTTGGCGGCTGAGTAGCCTATGAGAGCTGAAAAATGGATGTTTATTTCCTTAGTTTCTCTTTGCAGTTTATTATGGCATTGAAAATTCATTCCATAGTTTGGCTCCGCATGTTGTACAGGTGAGTACTCTATTTAGCTTTCTGCCAAAGACTTTTTTTTTTTCATGTGGCCTATAGTATTTTGTTTGGAAGAATGAATTTCTGATGGCCTTTCCATGTTTTGGACTTATGTAACATATTGTTCATCTCCTTGTAAAATTTCTGAACAATATATTTCAATGGAAAATTGGTTTTTTTTTGGCATATTTGATGTTATGTGAGTTTCAAAATGATGGGAACATGTTACTTCAAGAAGATAACTCATGGGAAAAACGTCATTTAAAATGTTTTAATCATGTATTGTGTCACGAGGAACTTGTAGTAGTGTCTCTTTACTTCCTCACTACAGCATCTCTTGACTCTTGCTGAGATTCATCCGGCCACTTTTCCCTTGTCTCAATTTCATATAATTTAGTTCTTCTGCCTGTCCTAGTTTCTCATGTTATTCTCTTTAATCTTACTTAGAACAGGATGAATGAAGTGGTTGTTCAGGAGTGTTCTCAACTAACACCTGAATAGTTGCTGCTCATGCCATTGATGTAAAAGAATATGTTGAAGACTCGATAACCCATTCTAGATGTAGGACAAAACCTTAAGTAAGGAGAACTAGGGCTACCTACAATCAAATAATGGTGGGCTAGGATTTTTATATATAGGATTTTTGGATGAGCTGGTAAGATCAATGGTTAGAAATGGTATAAGGATTAATTTGGCCGTGGTTTAAGGCTAATTTGGGTTTGAGTCGTTTGACATAAAAAAAATTAAAAAAAAATAAAAAAAATTGAAGAAGAGCTTCTCAGTAATTGGGTAGCAGCAAAAATAAAGGTTTAGGAACAGAAAGTTGGGTAATAGGATTAGGATTACATGATAAAGCACAAAGGTTTTGGCAATTAGATTAGGGTGACTAAAGGGCTGGTTGTGGCTATCTACTATGCATAGTAGTGTTGGAAATTGAAGTTAAG